TGCTGATCTTGTTTGGCCATCTAATTTGTAGGATCTGTCGGAGGCAATTGTTGATGAATACCTGCAGGTCGTGTTCGTTTTTCTTGGTTTGCTTCCAGGCTTCTGATCTATACAAAAGAACTGACTTGACATTGGTCTCAAAGATTCTCAGTTTGGTCTTTTGTCTGATGTTCTTGTTTTTCCATAACGGTCTGAGGGTCACAAAGGCATGCCTGGCTTTACCAAGTTTCGATTTAATATCATTGTCAGCTCCTCCATTCTTAGAAACGATACTTCCCAGATATGTAAACTGGTTGACGTCTTCGATGGATTCACTTTTTTGTGTGATGGCAGAGTTGTATTAGGTATTTATTCTTAAGGACTTGGTTTTAGAGGTGTTGATCTCCAGGCCTATTGATTTTGCTGTTGTATAAAGAGCTGATGTTTTCAGTTGGATCTGCTGGAATTTGTGGGATAGTAGACTCACATCATCTGCAAGGTCTAGATATTCAAGCTTGGCTGTGAGTGACCATTGGATGCCTCTTGGTGGTGTCATGGAGGTTCTCATAATCCAGTCGATTACAACCGAAAAAGATAAGAGGTGACAGTAGACAACCCTGGCGTACTCCTGTGTGTACACTGAAGGATTGTGAAAGTGTGGAGTTATGAATGACTTGGCATTTGTTGTTGTAGTATAACCCTTGTATGATCTTCACAAGTTTGTCTGGTATGCCGTAATGTGGTAGCACCTTCCACAGTGTGACTCTATCAACCATGTCGAACGCCTTTTTAAAGTCAACGAAGTAGATATAGAGAGGTGATTGCCATTCCAATGATTGCTCTATGATGATACCTAGAGTGGCAATTTGGCCGGTGCATGAACGTCCACAGCGGAAGCCTGCTTGCTCATCAATTAATTTTTCGTCCATTGCCCCTTTGATTCGTTCTAGGACCACTCTGGCTAGGAATTTGCTTGGTAGAGAGAGCAGTTGTATTCCTCTCAAGTTCTGACAGTTGCCTAGGTTTCCTTTCTTTGGAAGTTTAATGATGTAGCCTAAACTCCAATCCTTAGGTATTTCTTCTGTTTCCCAGATGTTGTCCAAGAGATCTTGAAGGATTCGGCAGGTGACCTCTGGATTGCATGACCTCAGGTGGAATCTGGTCTGGTCCAGAAGCTTTTCCATTCTTGATCTTACTTAAAGCTTTCAACATTTCATCTTTTGTGATTGGGCCTACATCAACATCTAGGTCTCACCAGGTAGTAGACATGACCAGATACAGTCATAACTACGGTGGCACAGTAGTGACATGTATGTGTTTTTATTTATCTCGTGTGCACGGGATACAACTTAGTAACTCGTGGCCACGAGATGATTAAGTGGTGCGCATGAGATACTATGTCGTGTTCACGAGTTACTATGTCGTGGCCACGAGATGATTAAGTGTTGTACACTAGATACCATGTCGTGGCCAGGAGATACTTAGTCGTGGCCATGAGATAATTAAGTGGTGCGCACAAGATACGCGAGGTGCGCATGTCGTGGCATCGAGTTACTAAGTGCTGGGATCGCGCGCAAGAGATAATTAACCAATCAGATTACACAATTTATATGAAATGTCCTAATTAACTTAGGGACTCTGTTTTTCTCCATTTCATTGTCACATCCGTGTTATTTGTGCTGTGTGGCGGCTGTAAAAAGTCTCCCTGTACATTTTATCAATGATGTTATATTTTTTATCCTTATCACAATATTGTTGTGGATACATTTAAAATGGTAGTTTTAGTTTCGTCTATTTGGTCTTTTTCAACTTGGGTGGTTCAAGTATTCCTACTTGAAGACTGTCTAATCAACTTTAGGATATGTTGCATGCTTTTTAAATTTGTCTTTTGACATCTTGTCTGTGATATGCAGGCTTCATAACCTCAGACCCCTTTCAAAATTCTATTTTATTTAGTTCCGCCCATTGTTTTCTCGTTTAGGGCACACGCATTGTTTTAATTTGGGACCATACACTGCTTATCATGGAATGAGGCTACTGTGTCACATTGAAGGGTCCATGATAACCGCCGTGTGAACACATCTGCGGATGTTTCTAAATTCAAATGTCATCATTTTTGTGTTTAATTTAAGCCGGTGCTAGGGGGCATGGACGGTAGTTTGCACTTTCCAATACCGTCCATGAACAGGCTCAATCAACCCTAGCCGAGCCTGCAAGATTTTACAATTTTTCCGTGTTGGATTTTCTTTAGGGATTCTTTTTTTCTTCACTATATGATATGTGCTATAGGACAAAGATGCCCCTACTTCACCTGCATGTCAAACTATCATTTATACAAGTTATTAATTGGACAATGATTTTACATTTAGCGTCATTGTGATCCGAGTTTTGACCCAATGACCTCAACATTGTCAGGTGTCATCTACTAATCAAATGCAATGATCTTTCTAGGCAATAAAATATGATAAACAAGATCAACAAGGAAAGGCGGCGTTCAATAAACCTTGGATTATTCTTTCTAAACTATAACATAGAATCTCGTGCCCACTACTAAATTATCCCGTGGTAACGACTTAGTAACTCGTTGTCACGACATAGTATCTCGTGCGCACGAGATTAATAAAAACACAAACACATGCCACCACATAACGCAACTATCGAATATGAAATTAAAGCGACACGTGGTTACTTTTTGACTTCTGACGGGTATGACCTCCCATTCCTAGACCAACATAGCTACAAGCTCCTGGATGGTTCTGGGTTGCAGCTGACGAGTTGAAACTCTAACCTGCAGCTCATTCCACATGTGTTTTAATTGGATTTAAGTCAGGTTAGCAAGCTGGCCTGTCCATGCGCTCAATAGACTCTCTCTTTAGGTAGTCCTATACCACCATGGTTCTATGAAGACGAGCATTATCTTCCATTAGAATGTACCGGTTGCCGACTGCTCCAACATACAACCTAATAAGGTTGTCTAATAAGATGACGTATCTGTATCGCTGACCTGTAAATGTGCCTCTATTTATTACAACTAGGTCGTTCATCCATTCCAGCTGATACCCCTCAAAACTAAAACTGACCCACCTCCGTAGCGGTCATGCTCTGCAACAATCTCATTAAAATCATATCCTAACTGTCGCTTCACTACCCTACGCTCGTAGCGAAGAGTAACAGAGCGAAAACGATGATCTGATTTTAACGAGATTGGCTCTGCAATATTTTCAGCCTGAAACTGTTCACCTCGTCTTCTACAGACTCTGTGAAGTCTAGGCAGAACTTTGACTCATCAGTGAGCATAACGTGTCTCCAGTGTTGCATGGTCCGCTGTGTAAGTTCCATGGTCCATTTCAAACAGCCCCTAGCGATGTCTTCTCGACCCTAAATTACCTTCATGCAGCCTTCTACGTACCGTCTGCGTGGAAACACGGACCCCTGCAGCATGAGCAGGGTCATTTCGAAGAGAAGTTGCCGTTGAAAACCTTGCACAGCGTGCTTGAACGACTAAAAACTGATCATTTAGCTGGTGTTGTAACCCTTTGCCGACCTCCAGCATGCCTCCTGGCGGGTGTACCATGTAGCGGATATCTCTCCCAGGCTCTGGTGATGACGGTGTGGTTAACACCAAACCAATATGGCGCAAGGTTATCCCCTGCTGCACCATCTGTACAGCCCTCCATTACTCTGCTTCTCTATTATGCCGCCTAATGTTAGCATTCGCCATATCAAAGTGACAGATGAAAGATATAAACGCCACTGAACAACAATAGGGGGTTCAAAGTTATCCATGAATAGCATATGTATAGCCAAATGAAGTAATTATATTCTAAAATCTATTTTTTTATATCTTTCTATTTGCATGCACATTAAACATGAACGGACACGTAAAGTTATCTGAAACAGCAAACAGTACGCGAAAATAAAACACGTATCATTATTACTATTGGTTAATAACCTTTTTTATATTTTTAATTATCCTTTTTAGTACATGTAAGCGGAAACTTGTAAAATTAATCCAGCAAATAGTACATGAATGTCATATTTACTAATTTTTCTTACATACAGATTTCTATTCGGCTATTTTCTTGTTGGGTGGTTCCAGTATTCCTCACTTGAACACTGTTGAATCACCCTTAGGATATGTGGCCTGCTTTTTAAATTTGTTTTTGACGTCTTATCTGTGATATACAGGCTTCATAACCTCTGATCCCCTTTCAAAATTCCATTTTATTTAGTTCCGCCCGTTGTTTTCTCGCTTAGGGCACACGCATTTTTTTTACTTGGGGACCGTATGCCGTTTTTCTTGGATTGGCACTTACGTGTCACATTGAAGGTTCCATGATAACCGCCATATGAACACATCTGCAGATGTTTCTAAATTCAAAATTGTACCAGTTCATTTTAAATGTTGAATTCTTCTAAAGCCGGTGCTAGGGGGCGTGGACGGTAGTTTGCACTTGACAGTACCGTCCGTGAACAAGCTCAATCAAACCGAGCCTGCAACTTTTTCAATTTTGCCGTGTTGGGCTTTCGTTAGGGATTCTTTTTTTTCTCTATTTTAACAAGTAAGTTACATCTATCAATTGAACAACATATAAAGAAAACACATCTGAAACCATTTCTACATGTATTTAGATATAACACTAACACATTCTGATATTCACAATTAACTCTTCAAATAAACATACATAAACATGTTTCCAAAAACATAAAAAGAAGACCGTTTCTGATAAATATTAAGGAAAGCACTTTCGATCAAAAGCGAAAGAATAACATTTCTCATTCTTATATTAAAGAAAGATACTTTAAATAAACATAACAGTTAAGAAAAACATTTCAGGTAAACTTAGAGAGAAAACACTTCCGATTAGCATAAAAAGAAAACATTTCACTAACACAAAAAGAGAAACATAAACATACGAGATGTACTGATATACTTAAAAAGACAGATACACAATCCTTATTTTTAATAAACGCTAATTTGTAAGAGGAAAACTCCAGATATACAAATTAACAAAAAGACATATTGATCAACACATTATATTTTCTTAAGACTTAATCTTTCCTTATACAGTTTTTTCAAAATTGTAAAAGAAAACAACAAGCAAAACGTCGATTTCTTCCATCTTAACCATTCATAATTTTCAGAGTTACATACTCGATTTTTCTAATAACTCTTTCATGAGTGTTTCTCTTCCTTTTGCATCCTCTATCTTCATTAAATTCGTGTAAAGTTCCGACATAAACTTCTTTACACCCGTAATCTCCTCTTCTTGTAAGTTATTTTGCTCATGATTTACCTCAAACCTATGGATATCATTTACTTGCTGAACCCTCTTTTCTTGCCCTGCTTGTGTTACCTTCTCGTTTTTTACAGTCTGTAAATTATTGAAAATTAAAAGAAAAAATAATGTTGTTTAATTCCTTTTTGTTTTCAATGTGTAAGAGAGCTAACAATAATTCTAATTTTATGAAAAATAACAGTATACAATGATTATACCCGCGTATTGTTTTCAAGTTAAAAAATTACAGCTTGATTACAATAAAATTGGAAACGGTATCAATGCACTTTGTACTATGTACACAAATGAGCATTTCATTATCATAGGTGCTTATTTTATGATAATATTAAGTGAAAACGCTTTTGATATTTAGTAAATATGACATTGTCGATACGAGCTATACGTTGAAGTTTTGTTTTCAAATACATGCAATTAACATATATTAAGATACCTGTTTGCTTACTAATTGAAATAGGTAAAATATGAAAAACAAGATCAACAAGGAAAAGCGGCGTTCAATGAACGCAACCCCCATATGACCCAGCAAAACCTTACCGATTGAAAATCTTTTCCGGATCTTCTTCCATTGTCGTTTGTTCTCTCCTCCACATTTCCATCTTCTGAAATAATAACATTTTTTTCTTATAGCCTTATACTTAAGATTATTAATTTAAAATGAGTATAGAATAAAAACAACAACGTTTCAGCTAAAAACGACTTGTGGACACAAGGTTAAGTTTAATGGTAACCTTTTTGATAAATTTTCAATTAGGTTACACATGTACCATGACATAATATAACTATGAACATATCACAGAGAAGATGAATATTCTGTCAGAATATGTCAATACCTTATTTAAAAAAAACAACTTTAAACGGTCTTTAGAAACATAACTATACTTCAGATTGATAGTGTTTGAAACAATTAGCTACATGTTATAATTTTGTTGAAATAATAAGGTTCGGGTCTTGTTTACAATCTCGTTGACATACACAACTTAGTAACATAAGATAAATGATATAAAACTCCTTGCCCGTGACTATATCTTATAGGAGAATCTGTAGCCAGGTGGTTAAGGACTTTGACTTTAAACCACTTGTCCATTACTGCTGGTGGGCTCGAATCTATACAGGGACTTTGGATTATTTCATGTGAGGAAGCTATCCAGCTTGCTTACGACATGTCGGTGGTTCGACTCAGGTGCCCGTTCGTGCCTAAAATAATGCACGGAAGGGCACTTGTGGTCTTAATTCATCAGTAAAGCTGGAACGTCGCCAAATGACCTACACCGTGTCGATCTGACGTAAAACCCAGTCAAGCAAACGAACAAACAATTTATATCTTATCTTAATTTACTTTTGATTTAGTTTCAATTGCGAAAACAATGATAAAATTTGAATTTAAATTATAGACAAAAATCAGTCTAAAATGTATTATACATATGTAATGAACTTAGGTCAAATTGAAGAAGGCTATTTTTTAATTCTATTTCGTTTAACATATAACGTGCACTAAATATACCTTCAAACTGTCCGGTTGCACCTTTCATAGATCGCATTTCAACATTATATGCTGATGGTGTATCTATTTAATGCAAGTTAAAAACACTTTAACAGTCAACAATTCATACAAATGTTAAGTTCTGAAATTGAATAATTAAGACCTTCGTTGCAATGCTGCAAAACGAAGTATTTTACAAATGTGATATACTGTATGGATGAAATAAATGTTATAAAAATCATGGATAAAAAGTGCGAATTAATATAATTTTATTTCAAGACCTGTAAAGGATAATAAATCGCTTAAGTTAGACACAGTTATTTTGGTTCTAGTCTCATGATAAATATGAAAATAATGTGTGATATCTACAGGAATTTAAAATAAAACACAGTAAATTCCTCGAAGGAATTATGATTTTTTTAATTACATAAATTAATCAAGTATATTTGATAATAACCGTTATTTCCTATTTTACCTCTGGTTATAATCATTAGCCATTTCTGCTCTGAATATGTAATTAAATGTTGAATCCCAACATACCAACAAAACCAGAGAAGAGTAGTCTATCAACATTACCTTGTGAATATAGCGGATCATTTTCTTCGGTCTTGTCTACATCATTTTCTTCGGTCTTGTCTACATCTTGACGTTTTAACTCAAGGATCGTTGTTGATTGATAGGCAGCACCTGTATATTTTCAAAACAAGTATTGATAACTTAAACTGAAAAATCTTAGATTGATGCAGATATTTCTTTAATTTACGAGTGGTACCTCCGAGCTATGGCACAAATCGTGTAACTCACTTACTCACTTAACTGTATATCCGGAAATACAACTACATGCATTAAAAAAAAGATAATACGTCAATTTGTTTATTGTTTATATTAGCAGAATAAAAACTTACACAAGGAAAACGACCTTAATGTCTAAAAATAGATATTCACTATTGACATATGCATACATGACATATATTTCTCAAGTAAGAATATGATTCAAACCAGCAGTTTCCTGAATAGTATTAATAGTATCCGCTTGTTCGGCTTCTCTTCGATGTTCAAAATGTTCTGTTTCTATGTTTTGTATTGGGTAAACCGGCCAAGGACTACGATATCCGGTTTGTGGCCCCGATTCAACAGCTAAAGATCGCATACCTCGCGCAGCTACCAATGGTTGCCCTTAAACATGGTATGCATTTTTTGCAATTATCAGCATTTACTTGAATTTAAAAACCTCAAAGTGAGTTATAAGAAAAATGCTCAATATTGTAGTTATTACATGTAGTTGATAAAAGCTGAATAATGTTCACTATTCTACGGCGGTACACTTCCGTTAAAAAAAGAGATCATTACATAAATTGTATTGGAATCTCCTTTGTTTGGATTCTTATATAATCGAGAAATGTGTCTAGCTATCAACATATACTAAAAATGTATTATAACATGATTTGTATGAGTAAATGGATAACATCTTAAAAATGAAATTTTACAAGTACAGCTTCCTTACGTGTAAAAGGTGAGAAATTTTGCATGACATGTATAATCTGAGGCTGCAGATAATAGGACAACGAATGAAATATTCTTGCTTCGTTTATAGAGAGAATATTCAAAAGTTGTTGACTCTGTTGTATGTAATGAATTAAACGTTATAATTATATTGTAGATGCACCGTTCAACAATTTTAGAGGCATAGTCTTAATAAAAATATACATATTTTATCAACTTTTGGGATTATAATAAGGTGATATCTAAATAAACAAAATTAGCTTTGAAAATTTATAAAACATACTGTTGGATTCCATGAGTCTGAAAAGTCGAGACTCAGATTTAACAACAAACCACATATAGTCATATAGTCGCAAAAATTTCTCAGGCTATTTTAAATTCAAACTAAAAGGATAAGATCGCATAAAGTGCATATATTGTTTCAAACATTATGTAATCATTTTGATTATATAACTGTTTATTATGATTCATCCAGATATAATTCAAATATTAAGTCCACTCTGAATGCAATGTGTGCAATGTGTACCCATAAACTGTATTTGGTTTTCATACAACCACGCAACACGCAATGCATTTACGATCCTAAAAAGGTTGTGATTATTTTCGTTGGAATAGAAATGAAATGGTGAAAATTCAAACCAAAACCCTACTTCAAAAGATATTTTGATTATTTATATTTATTAATAAATTAAAGATTTGAAAGGAATTATGTGAAAACAAATTAATTCTCAGCCGGCTAACTCAGTGATGTTAAATTCATAGGTCAGTATATAATTAAGTACTGGAAATAATAAAGAGAAGAAAACAATCATGTTACAATCGAAATTACAAAATTCACTTAGCAATACCATTTTGATTAAGGTTCCTAGATTTGGATTTAATATCCGCTTGTTTTCCGTTGTTTTCCAAAGATTTACATTTCCTGCTCTGATTTAGTGGTGGTGCTGATGCATTGGTATGCTTGTTAGGTAAGGAGCTAAAGGTTCTTGAAGGTTTTCGATCGTCAAGGCTTGTTCTTGTATTACCAACTTCAGAAACCACTTGAAGCCCTATTTTAAATATGTTAAAATAACAATTGTAGTTGTGATCTCAAAGAAATTTTTCAGTTTCAATTTTTTCTAAAGCAAACTAGATGCAAATATTTGAAATCAAATATAGAGGTGAATATACATATAAAACAATTGAGATACTAAGTAGTTTCCTTAATTGTGTTCAAAACTGATTTATTTATTGTTGTTGTTTTTGTCTAGTAAAATGATTTTGATACGAAATTGTTTGTCCTTTTGTTTTGGTACTATTTTTTTCTTATACATGTTATATTATTAGGTTTATTGTGCATATTTGTTTACGGTTACCCAAGAAAGGTTTATCGTATCTGATTTAAACCGTTTTCAATTATATCTGACTAAGTAGCCTCCTATCGTGTTGGCTTTTTTAAAGTAACAAGAAACAATGTCAACTGACGAACCGTGGCAGTGATTTCAGTAGGTCTTCGTGTTTACCTTTTTAAGTTCAAACCTTCTTTCATTGTCAAATCGTTCTGTGTAGCATCGGACTGTTCAAGAAAATTATTATTGAAATCTGTATATATTAAGTGAATTTCCGTTCAAAATTTAGTTTTATCTTATGTTTATATACTCACCAGTTTCGTCTATTCTCTCTTCTGATTTTTGAGGTTGCTTTGTTAGTCCCAAGCTATTGGCTTGTAAAGTATACTGAACATTTTCTTTTTCAAGTCTTAGTTCTACAATGTCACATACATCAGTAAATGAGCCCTCTTCATTTTCCAACGTCGATACTGGTATAATATAAAACAGCAAAAGTATAATACATAACATATAAATTAAAGACAACGTTTTAAAAATACTAATTGAATGGAAAAAGGAAGGAAACATGGCAACGATTGATTGTTCAGTATGGCAGGATTACAAGAAAAGCTTGAATTGAATATTATAGGCATTTTATTACACTGATATATGTATTTCACATTTCATTATGATATAATAATTATATATTGTATAATTCAAACCAGAAACATCCTTCATAGTTTCGGATGGTCATAATGCTCATAACCTGTTCGGTCTTTCTCCATGGTTTGAATGGAATAAACCGTCCTAGGACTACGATTTTGAGAACGTGTGGCCGGTGGTTCCACAGGTATAACTATTACATTGCATAGAAGCAAATGATTGCCCTTAAAAGGAACATGTTCTTCTTGCAAAACGAAGCATATGAAGTTTGATTTATGCACTCAATGTTGCGTTTAAAATTTACAAATTGAGCACAATTTCAGAACAAATGAAGTAAATAGAAGGAAAAGGTGAAAGGTTTGTTTATAACCATTAACAATTGATGTATGATTTAGCGCCAAATCTGCATATTCCAGATGCTTACCTGACTGTTGTACACTTTGCTCAGACGACTGTGCAAGGTTTCGGCTATTTCCACTATTCGAACGTGACCTATACACACTATATTTAGTATGTCCTCTGCTAATGCTGAACTCAGTACTTCTTGTTGTAATTGAATCTTCAGATGTTTCTAAATTAAAATAGTTATTTTGTATTACGTGATATTCTTGCCAAAATAATATTCAATATAGTACCAAACAAAGCAACTTTCTTAATGGTAAGTAAACATAAAAAAGAATAAAAAACATAAAAAAGAAAATGTTTACGATATACAGTAAATCTATTTTCATTTCATTACAAGTGGTACAAAATGGTATTGTTTAGCTTGAATATTAAACTTAAATGCCAATTACTGTTAACAATTAAACAAAATATATATTATTATAGAATGATCTCCCTTTGTCTGTAAAACTGGTTTTTGAGGTATTTCAGTATCAATCATAACCAATTATTGTACTACACAAGGCAGCTTTGTTATTTGAAAGGTTGTATTCAAATCAACATAATACATTGACTTCCCTTCACATAATCGTTACATGCTGCATGTTTGTCTTTTTTATTTTAAATTGAATTTGTAAACTGAACGTGATTTAACCCGGCATTTACATCTTTTCAAGATGCAAGTTTCATTTAATACAGAATGAAAAACAAAACAATAGCGAAAACAAATTCTTGAAAGATATATTAAAATTCAACTCTTCATTATAGAATTAACTTCATGAAGGAACATAACAACATTTCGAGCACATGCATTGTTATTGAATATTTGTAAATAGAATAATCTCCCTTTATCTGAAAATATATTTTATTATCTTAACTTATTGTAATTGTCTTGTAATATTCAAATATAAGCATTCTAACTTTTTTCACAATGTTTTTAACTTACGCAAAGCAAACGATAAACGGCCATGTGCAACAATTATAGATTTGTGGTGAAAAGCTGCCTTATCATTTAGAGTATTCCCCTAAATTAACTGTAGCCGGTGTCATTGAGTTTTGTTTCCCTTAGTTCTTTTGATTGAAAACAGCGAAAACAGCAATGTTCGATTAGTAAAATAATAAACAGTTTTAACGATTATTTTATCATTGTGAATAAAACAAGAAAATAGTAATACTGATAAAGAAAGCATACTTACTATAACTTCTCCATTATTCCAATATGTATTAAACTCAAACGTGTAACCAATACTTATGTTTTAATATTCATGAGCATTTAAACAAAAGCACGGTGTTCATGCTGTTACGTATGTGTACATGTTTATTTCCTTGTTCTCCTCATAAGCCTCAACAGGAAACAATGGAGGTAAATAATTTTCATTATTTTGCATTAATAGTATAAATTAATATCCCTGTCTATTTTCCAAACAACAGAAAATATGATTTTAGTAAGAAATTACATGTACCCTGAACTTTCCATTATGTGACATAATAAACAGATCCTGTCCTTAACAAACGTTCATAAAATTCAGAAAAGTACACATACCAAATATATTACCTAACTGAATACCTAAATCGGCTGGGGTGACCTGATTATTTTCAGTTCTTTGTCTATTTTGTATCTCCCGATGTGGCTCTTGATTTGTTAGTATTTTCTGTTTCTCATTGTGTAACTCTGCCTCAGCCACCGGAACTTTTCTTTCTTCAGTGACTTCCTCTACTTGGTCAAAATCTGTATTTTAATTAAAATGAAAAAGAACATTCGGTTATACTTTCTTGAACACATATTTTTATTGGCAATATTGAACGAATATAAGTTTCTTTATTGAATCTTAAACGAGTCGGACAAATTGCACATATAAAAAAGAATGTTTCCTTATTTGGACTCTTTAAATTACACGGACGTATTGAACGACTACAAATAATCTAAAAACCTTTGTGACAAGATTTAATAATATTTTAACTGAATATGTAACACCTAGTGTTAGCAAAGTTTTTTTCATATCTGGTTTCTATAACCTGGTTTTATCCCAGAGGACACATATTCAATCATAAAACAACATGCCGTCACATTTTTATCCTTAAGCTTGATATCATTGAAAACCTTTCTGATAAATTTCTTTATGTTATATGGAATGAAATTGTTATATCTAGCGAGTAATTAAGGTTTATCCACATTTGGGTTTGGTGGCCTAGTTATTTACCCCAGTCTAGCAAAATTCGAACATGAGCCAGAATTTCTAGAAATAATCAAGACAACATTTCCGACAATTTTTCATGATGTAAGGAAACAAAAGTTACCGATAAAGAGTTAACTAGGTTTGTCGATATTTTATTTCTCTGTGACCTTGTTTTCTACCCCTGATGATCAATATCAAAACTTGGCATAGAACTCATAAAAAAGCGTTATAATCACACTATTCCAGTATATCTAGGCTACAATTGTTACATCATGCAATACTTAGGTTGTGTGACCTAGTTTTTGTCCCAAGATGACCAACTTTCGAAATGAAGCTAAAACAATATTTACGCAATGTTTCTGACAAGTTCCCGGTTTATTTGATCTTAAATTTAATCCCCTTACTGTCAACAATTTGGATTTTTTTCCATATTTTGCATTGTGATCTATTTTTCGACCTCTGAACACTTAAAGTAGTACACCCCTAATGGGCACTATAAGGAACTGTAAAATTGACAACAAAGGACAGTTATATGCCTTAAATGTCAACTGTATGCAAAATTTAAACAAAATTTACCGTGTGGTTTATGAGTTATGGACAGTTTTCTGAACTAAAACTTTGCCATCAGAAGGGTTTTTTTCAGAAATGAGGTAACTCTAAATAATCTATAATATCATCATTATGAAAAATGTTTTCCTATTGCTCATTGTTAAGAAACAAATAATGACATTTAGGTAACAAATTAAACAAGCTAGTTTTCAAGTTTTCAAGTTTTATTGATATCTCAAGGCCCAACTGGGCATGTGAGAAAACAACAATATAACAAATGTTTACAAAACAAAGTAAAGTGATACATAATTGAAATGGCAATGTTATGAACATAATTATGTACATAAAAAAAGAGAGAACAAAATAGAATAATAAAAATAGAATTAAAATATAACATATTTATACTTAACAATTTAGAATCGGAGAATGAGATCAAAATGAAAAAAATATATCAATATGTATTATTAAGCACAAAGATTATTTTCTTACAGAATATTGCTAGATTGAATAAAACATTTTTGCTTTCACTATTCATTAAATTTGAAAAATTAATAATGTTAGGTCTATGAAAAAATGAATTTTCTAAATATGTCTTTCTCAGGTGTTGAAAATAGGTACAGTGAAATAAATAATGAAATTCATCACCTAACAAATTATCAGAACATAAACAGCACACTCTTAGACTTCTATCCAAATTAAAAATCTACCTGTTTCAATTGGCATTTTGTGGTTCATACATCTAAATTTGAAAAACGCTATTGCTAAATCTGATGGTAAAATGTTAAAGTATTTTTCAAAACCAAATTGAGTTTTAAAAATTCTATAATTCAGACATTCACTGGATTCATGAATAGAAGATTGCCAATCTTGAATAAACTGGTCCTTAATTCTAGCAGAAATAATTTTCTTGAAATGTGGGACAGAACTTACTGTTTGAAAAATCCAATAACTTGACAGACCAAGAGAATCTAAAGAAGTATGCACAAATTTCAACCAAGGAAAATCCACATCAAAATCAGAGTAAAGTTTCTTTGACATGCAATACAGCATAGAACAAATTTTATCTTTTTTATCATTAATCAGTTTGCCCCAATAGTTCAGAACTCTTGACTTAATTTGCAAAGACAAAGGCAATATTCCTAGCTCGCCATAAATCATACATGATGGGGTAGATTGCTTCAGTCCGAAAACTAATTTAATAAATTTCAATTGGAAACGATCAATTATTTGTACATTTTCTACTCCCCAGACCTCGGATCCATATAAAATAATAGGAGCCACCATTGCATCAAATAAACTCAATTGTATATCAAATGGTAAAGAAAGTTTCAGAGACTTTGTTAACACAGAAAACATAGCTTTTCGAGCTTGATCAATCAGTTTTTTTCTTGTGCCTAAAAATTTTCCGTTAAATGAAAACTGAACCCCAAGATAATCAAAACAATCTACAATCTCAAGTATGTTACCCTCAAATTATAGAGGAATAATATTATTCCACCCCCTTTTACTTTTACAGAACACAACAATTTTTGTTTTGGCAGTGTTTACCTTTAAACCCCAAGTATTACAGTAATCAGACATTACATTTAATGCTTTTTGTAACTCATTAGGACTTTCAGCTAAAATAACTGTATCGTCAGCATAGAGCAACATAAACAATTTAAGATAAACTTCAAAATATTTGTGCTTAAAGTGTTAGACAGGAAATTTAAACCTTCAAATCTTTGAGACAGGAACGAGTTCAAGTCATTTAAAAACAAAGAGAATAAAACTGGGGATAAATTTTCTCCTTGTCGGACGCCAGCCAGACTTGAGAAAAAGTCAGAAAATTGGTCACTGACTCTAACACAGGACTAAATATTTTCATACATATTGTGTATTATCTTAAAACATTTACCATCTATATTTGAACTTAATAACTTGTTCCATAAAGCAAGTCTATTTACAGAATCAAAGGCTTTTCTATAATCAATAAAAGCACAAAATAGTTTTCTTTTGTTAGCCAAGTACAAATCTATTAAACATTTAAGTGAAAAAATATGATCAACTGTACTGTATTTCTTTCTAAACCCGGCTTGCTCTTCACAAAGAATATTATCAGATTCTAAAAATTTATTCAACCGTCTATTCACAACAGATGTAAATAATTTACCAAAACAGCTCAAAATTGTTATTCCCTTGTAATTGTCAGGATCATTAATATCACCTTTATTCTTGTATAAAGGAAGAATTACCCCTTTACTCCAAATTTCAGGGAAGAAACCTGAATCAAAAATAATATTAAATAGTTTGCAAACAACTGGTAACATTGAACAGGGCAAATTCTTAAGATATTCATTTAAGATATTATCCATTGGTGATGCAGATTTGTTGTTCTTTAAAGCCTTTAAAACTGACTGAATTTCATTAATTGTAAATGGTAAATTTAATTCCTCATTGTAGCTGCTTATCTTATCAATGTCTACCTCGTTAAAATTTTCTTCATTATGAAAGTCTACATTATTTAGATCCTTAAAATGATCATAAAAAACCTCGCATGAAATTTTATTTATCACAGTTTTTCTTTCACTGGAGTACTTATTAAGAAGATTCCAGTAAGATTTGGGATCACTATTTTTAAGACCTTGAATTTTGTTTACAATGCAGGTATTAAACTCTTTAAATTTTTTGTTAATTTCCGTCTTATATTGTTTGCTTCTCCTCTGCATATCTTCAAAATTTTCTAAAGATCTGTTTACTCTATACTTATTTTTTGCTAAAAAATAACCATTCCTAGCTTTTCTACAACTCTGATCAAACCAAGGCTTGTCTTAACATGCTGACTTCTTAACCTTACTTTTTTATCTTTTAAAGGATAACTATTCTTGATCAAATTACAGTTTTGAGCTGCAGAAAAAATCACATCTGAAACTTTTTCTGTAAGATGATTTATTTTACGATGATCAAAAACATTCAATTGAGTACAGTCATCTAGTTCTTTCATAAGATCTGATACTAGATTGTTATCAAATTTACTAATAAAATCTGCTCTGGCCTTATTGTCCCACAATGCTTTGTGGATTACACTATCAGATTGATAACCATCATTACCCTTGTTTTCATCATCATCCTCTGCCTGAACCTCACAAGAATAACAAAGTTCTAAAACACAGTGAACATCAGACAATAAAGGATCAAATTCTTTAACATCAAAGAATGTTTTTCTTGGAAATAAACTACCAGATAATAAAACATAGTCAATAACACTATCATATATAGTTGTGTTTTTACCTATGTAAGCATCAGCACCACACCTTCCATTGGCCAGGTATAAGCCTACCAATTTACAAAGTTCCAAAAGCCTACGACCAAAGTTGTCAGGACGATGATTATCACAAGTAAACCGTGATGTTGTAAAGCCAAGTTCATTAAGCTGATTCGTACCAGCAATATTATAGGTAGCATGATCAAAGTTCAAATTTGCAATGTAACTACCTACTTCCTGAAAATCACTCAGTCTGCCAGTTTTTGCATTGAAGTCACCCAACAAGCAAAATGTGCAATCATGATATTTCCCAGAGAAATCAAGTAAAACGTTCTCTAAATCATCAAAAAGACTTAATGTACTATACTTAGAACTCTCCGGTGGTAAATAAATCACCCCAAAAATACAATTGTCATTATTGAATTTGAACCAAATAAAGTTTTCATTACAGTGTTCAAGCATCTGAAAATGTTTCACAAATATATCTTTGATAAACATACCAACACCTCCAGATTTACGTTTACATTTTTCCCTATTTAAACTCTTAAAAGTATACCCATGTACATAGGGCACATCAAATTCATCAAGCTTTGTCTCAGCAAAGCAGCAAATATCATATTGTTTTATAAAATAATCAAATTCTGGTAATAACAACTTAGAAGTTAAACCATTTACATTTCTAAACGATAAACTAATGATATTTCGGTTTTTGGCACACAGTAAGTATGCTCATTCAAAACATGAATATCAAGTGCATCAACATTTTCATTATTAAGAAAAGAATTAAAAAGCAATGTATCATCATTAGAAACATGAGATGAAATATCCTTTAAATAGGGTAGGTTCATGTTTATGGCAACAGAAGATCCGTTGTTGACATTGTTTACATCCTCAAGGATAGTTTCTGAAGTTTGAAGTTCTGAACACTTTGATTGAGAACATTGAATAGAATGTTGAATAACATTATGATCAATCTTTTGGCTTATAATAGAAGTTAAATCTTCTGAACACTTGGAACAAGAACACTGACTAGAATGTTGAATAAAAGTATTGCAATCCACCTCGTTGCTTCCTTCAGAGGAAATTTCAAGTTCTGAACACTTGCACTGAGAACATTCGTTAGAATTTTGAATTTGAGTAACACACTTATCATTCTTGTGTTTAATTAAAGAACTAGTTATGTTTTCTGAACACTTGCACTGGGAACGTTGATTAGAGCATCGAGTTACATTATAATTAACCTTGTGGTTTGTTTTAGAAGTAGTTAAAAGTTCAGAACACTTGGAATTAAAACATAAACTGTAATGCTTAAGAAAACACGAACAATTTCTTACATTCTCCGGATGACATTAAATCAAATGTTTAAGTCCAAGAAGCTCCAAATCAGCCTCAACATCAATATGAAACTAAAAGCAAAATGATTTTTTTTAAACGAAATGTTTTTAATATGTTTAAAAATGTAACCATACCCCACCCACTTTTAACACTTATTTGACCATTTCCATGTGTAAAAAACTTTTTTAAAATATCCCTAAAATGTTCCACAATGAGGGCCTGTTTTCAAAGTTTGGCTAAATTTTCTTATATGTATATTGGTTGGTCTTGCAAAATATAAAAAACTTTTACCGTGTATTTTTTATTTTATTAAACTTGAAAATATCTGGTATCATATTTGCTATTAAATTTAGTATTATTTAGTACATAAATATCTAAAAAAAATTATATAATTAAAATGAAACACTTTTTTCTTCCATTAGGGATCTGAGAGATTAATAAAAAATGTTAAAAAGGAAAAAAAAAGAAAGAAAGAAAAGTTGCCCCTTCTGGGGTTTGAACCCACGCCCCTCAGTTTCAATACACTTTACAGTGATTCCAGCCTATTTGAATACTCTTCAAAGTGGAGATAGTGCATTAGGGGTGTACTACCCTACCTTAAGAGAGCAATACTGACAAATTCCTAGTTTATTTTGGATAAAACATCTACAGTGCTACATTTAACGAATTTTTTTTTCCAAAAGTTCGACTGTGTTACCTTGTTTTGTTTAACCTAAATGATCTATATTTGAGCTTGAACCTGAAACCAAACAAATAAGTTGTCTCACAAGATTCCTTGGCACCCTATATTTTATATGATAGAAATAACAATTGCAGTTTTTATTTTTAAGTTATTTTTTAGATTCAAGTTTTTTGCTATAGCAAAAAAGAGGCAAATGTTTCTTGTCGAATATAGATGTATTCATATGAAACAAGCGTGACTAAGTAGTTTTCTTAATGGTGTTCACTGCTGATTTATTTAGTAGTTATTTTGTTCTAGCCTTGTCAAAAGATTTTCCATTTTGCAATTGTTTATTTTTTTGTTCTGATGCTATATTTACTGTTTCTTTTTACGTCTACTATTCATATATGTTTACGGTAACCCAAGAAAGATTTATCGTGCCTGATATAAACTTTTTTTCAATTATATCTGACTAAGTAACCTATTTGAATGACTATCGTGTCCGCTTTACAGTAACAAGAGGGCCAACATGGCCCTAGATCGCTCACCTGACCCATCGAACTCATCCGAACAATTACCTAGACAATCATTCTGACCAAGTTTCATAACAGGTGAGGCAAAAATGTGACAACTAAAGTGTTAACAAGGTTTTTCTATATTTGGGCGGTGTGACCTAGTTTTTGATCCCAGATGACCAATATTCAAACTTGACCTAGAAATCATCAAAAGAAACTTTCAGACAAATTCCCAGGAAATTGGGGTCAAAACAGTAGCCACTAGAGTGTTAACAAGATTTTTCTATTTTTAGCTCCTGTGACCTAATATTCCATCCGAGATGATCCATGTTCGAAGTCATCTAAACAATTACCTAGACAAGCATCCTGACCAAGATTGATGATAATTGAGTCAAAAATGTCACCACTAGAGTGTTAACAGTATTTTTTTCATATTTGGGTTGCGTGACCCAGTCTTTGATCCCAGGTGACCCATATTCGAACTTAACCTAGAAATCATCAAAACAAACTTTAAGACAAATTTCCAGAATATTTGGACAAAAACAGTATCCACTAGAGTGTAAACAAGGTTTTTCTATTTTTTAGTTTCTGTGACTAAGTTTTTCATCCCATGTTCGAACTCATCCGAGCAATTATCTAGTAAAGGGTCCTGATCAAATTTGATGATGATTGAGTCAAAAATGTGACCACTACAGTGTAAACAATGTTTTTCTAATTTTAGCTCCTGTGACCTAGTTTTTCATTCAAGATGACCCATGTTCGAACTCATCTTAATAATTACCTAGACAATCATCCTGACCAAGTTTGATGATGATTGAGTCAAAAATGTGACCACTGGAGTGTTGACAAGGTCTTTCTATTTTTAGCTCCGTTGACCTAGTTTTTCATTCAAGATGACCCATGTTCAAACACATCCGAGCTATCACCTAGACAAGCATCTTGACAAAGTTTGATGATGATTGAGGCAACGATTCTAAAAGCTCACCCTGAGATAGCTCAGGTGAGCTAAAAAGAAACAGTGTCAAGTTACGAGCCATTACAGTAATTGCAGTAGGTCATTATCTTTACTAAAGCTTCTATTTCATTATCAAATCTTATTATGTTTTTATTTTATTTTCAAATTGTTAAAGGAAATTGCATTATTGAAGTGCTTGCACAATCCGTAAAGTGAGTGTCCGAGCAAATTTCTATGATTTTTAAGTATATAATTATAACAGTAAAGAACATAGGTTGATAATATATTGAAATTCAGTCAATTAAAGCACTGACTGTCATCTATGTATGTATATATGTTTATACAAACCTGTTTCGTCTATTCTCACTTCTGAGTTTTGTAATATTTTAGGTTGCTCTTTTAATTCTGTCCTAGTGGCTTGCAAAGTATGCACCGAAACAGTTTCGTTATTTTCTGTCTCGAGTCCTATGTCTGCTGTGCTAGACACATTAGTAACTGATCTTCCTTCATTCTCTAAGGACGACACTGGTATACATAAAACAGCAAATATATTTCCGCACATCTTTACCACATAATTTGTAATTCAAACAAAAAAGAATTTGATAGGCATCTGGTAATTATTACATGTTTTATATTGCCAACATAAGTTAAAATAATCGATCTTTTAATGTAAACCATATATTCTGGGACTCAACTCCTTTGGGCGAACTGTACAGGCAAAAGATAACGTTTGGATTTTGATGCCATTATAAATAATACGACAGGAAATGTGATACTGTTGCCCGTTAATCATCGTTGTTCTCACTGGTATATTTTAATACTTATGCATATTCCATAAAGGTAACTATATATAAAAAATATATAAATAGTATTATACACAAGAAATTTTAAGTTAACTCTTTGGAAACTGTAGTCATTGGTTAAACAAGGATTTTACATCGACTGTTCTTGTGACCTTGACCTTTTGATCTCAATACGAGTCGTGGACAATATTCCTACCTATTTCAACAAGTCTAGTCCTTTTTCATTTGAGGCATTGAACGGACAAAGATTGAAGTGACCTTGGTCCGTAATCGTATTGTCTCAGAATCAGTAAGCGCTAGCCAAGGGAAATGTCCTTGAAGTTTTATATTAATGCTATGGCACAACATGTATGCCTTTTAGAAAAATATATAAATTCAAGACAATGTTTTAAAAATACAATAAAATACAATGAAACAGAAACAAAAAGAAACATGGTATTGATGTAATTTTTACAATTATATCAGAATAAGACTGACATGAAAAGCAACGGTTACCATAATGTGCAACTATTTAACAGTTTTATTACTGATATATTTTATAACACATGTTACTTTTAAATATTATATAATTCAAACCAGGACCGTCCTTATTAATATCAGATTGCTCAGCGTCTCTTCGTAACAACCGGCGTGTAAAATTTACAAAAATCTTTATAATGTTTAGACAAGTCGAACAACTCACAGGACGGACTAGAACTGTCATCCTTTGAATATTGGAACTATAATCATATGTATGAAGTGCATACTCTTTGTTAACTTATTTGTTATTATTACTTTATTCTAACCATATGCTAATTGACAATCACTGTTCATAACCGTAAATACGTTCCACTTGACTAATTTTATTATATTTTATAGAACAAAACATCGTTTGTTTACCATTGTCGTTGTAAGAAACAACAACTGCATGGTATAAGTATACCAGCAAAGTATTTTTTCCTGAATTCAAACGAACAATACCAAATTGATTACCTAAGATTTCTTTGGTAAGATGTATATTCTGGTTAATATCTGTCTTTTGATTTGTGTCTATATCCTGGTCTGCCACTCTCTCCTGAGTTGTTTCTTGTTTTGAATCTCCCTCCTTACTTTCTTTGTGTAGTTCTGCCTCAGGCAACGGAGTCATTTCTTCGTCTGTGACTTCTTGTACTTGATTATTCTCTGAAATGAAAATGAAAAAGAAACTTTCGAATTTATTATGTTATTTGTGCTGTATGGAGGCTGTAAAAACATTCCGCGTACATTTAATCGAAGATGTTATATTTCCGATCTTTGAAAATCGTTCAGTACGACGTTATTGTTGTGGAATTATTGCTTTTGGTATTTTAAGGTCATTGTAACCGACCTTTTCAATTTGAGTGGTTCCTGTATCGTACTTGAATACTGTATAATCACTCATAGGATATGCTGCCTCCTTTTTGAATTTGTCGTTTGACGTTTTATCTGTGGTATGAAGACTCCATAACTTCTTCTCCCCTTACAAAATTCAATGTTGACAGTTCCACCCATTGTTTCTCGTTTAGGCCACACGCACTCTTTTAATTGGGGACCAAAAGCATACACTTGTCATTGCATGGCATTAGCATATGACATTGAAGTTTCCATGGATATTGCCATATGAACGCATCTGTGGATGTTTGTAATTCAAATTCTTTTTACCATTTTCGTGTATAAATGTTGAATTCTGCTTAAGTCGATGCTAGGGGACGTGATTTACCAGTACTGTCTTTGAACAGGCTCAGTCAAACCGAGCTTGCAACATTTTCAATATTGCCGTGTTGAACTTTCTTTCTTTAGGGGTTCTGTTTTTTCACTATTTTGTAAAGGTTTCAATATGATTTATTAAACGTAAATATTACTGTTGATGACTTCATAAATTATATTGAACATTAATATGACATTAAAAATATCAAACATTTCCCCAAAGAATAGATCATGTTTTTTAGTTTTTTATCTATTTTGTTTTTGTTTCGTTTTCAATGAGTAACTTAATACAATTTCATCTGATACAGAAGCCCTTATGGTGATGGAATAAAACGAAAAAGTAATTAATACTTAAAATTCAAACATACATGCATTTACTTTATTACATTTGTATTCCAATATGTATTTAACTCAGTTGGTAATCAATACTTATGTTTTAATATTCATGGACATTTCAACTGAAGCCTGGTAATTTTTATCATATATGTACATGTCTATTTTCTTTTAAGTTATTTCAAGTGTCAACAAAGGAAACAATGGAGGTAAATAATTATCCAATTTTGCATTAAAATTATATACTGATTAAACTGTCCTTTTTTCAAACAATAGAGGACGTATGTTTAGAAAAAAAACTCCTCAATTTTTCCATTATAAGACATAATGAACAGATCTCTGTCCTTAACAAATGTTAACAAAAATAAATCTGGTTTTATTTAAGATTATTAGAATAATACAGCTGCCAAATATACTTCTAAACTGTTACCTAAGTCGGCTGGGGTCACCTTATTATTTTCAGTACTCTGTCTTTTTTCTATCTCCAGATTTGTCTCTATCTCTTGATTTGACTGTATCTCTTGTCTCTCATTGAGTAGCTCTGCCTCAGCCTTGGGAACTGTTCTTTCTTCAGTGACTTCTTCTCCTTTGCCATAGCCTGTTTTTGAATTGAAATGAAAATGATTAAGAACTATTCGAATTGATAATTGATAATGAAACTTTACATTGTTTTGAACACAATTATTCATTGCGGATAATTAAAGAAAGATCGTTATTGAATTTTAAATTAAAATTGTTTGTTCTTTTGTTTACATTATAAATGACAATTTTTTCAGGAATCAAGCATCATTAGGATCAGCATATTCCATGTGGTATATGATGGGGGACTTATTTTTGGAGGACGATGCATATTCTTATTCGTTACAAGCTCCTCAAGCGTTTACATCCTACCGTCTTGTTAGAAACTTGTATCGGTGATACAGTCAGTTCTATTACAATTGCAAGTTTGCTAGTCTCTTAAATGATTTTGAATTCAATATCGTTTGCAAAATATATGATAAGTAGACCGAAATATTCTATCTAATGACGAAACATAATCAAATAATTGTTTTTTAAAAAAGTTTTAAACTACTATTGTAATACCTTAGATTAAATATAGACAGTAAAAGACAGTCTGACAATATAAAAAAACAAGATATAAACATTTAAAACAAATAGGCTAAAAAAACCTATCCGGACGAAATGAAAAAAGTACAGAAAGTAGCTATGATATAATTACTTCACAGCAATAGATAACGGCAGCAATATTTTTAATGTAAACCAGGAAGGAAATGTGAAGTCAGCACTATAATTAAAGCGACTAGATTATTTCCTTTTTGCAAAAAAAACAACAACAAAAAACTTATTACGTATGTAAATATTGTGAACCAATGTCTGGTAAAGCGGTGTTATGTGTTTAGGTTAACATACTAATATCAAGTATATATCATTAATAAACTTATTATTAAGATGATTTGACATATCCATTGGAGATTTTGACATTTTTTCCACATTTCAAGTATAGAATTATTGATTGTACACGATTACAATAATTATTCAGGTGATTTAAAAGAACTATTTTGAAAATAGATTAATTATTCGAAAATTTCTACACTAATATAGAGGTTTTTTGGCTTCTCGTGCGTTCGAATTACTAACGTTTTATCGGAAGAGTTAAGCCCATGATAGTGACCAACAAAGAAATCTAAAAAAAGTGCTTATTTAGTTTAAAGCATCAGTTTTAGAATTACATTTTGTACTCGTATTAAATAATCATAACAGAGGGTATTATAAAATA